CATGATCCTAGAGAAGGTCAAGAGGGCTTTGATTGTGTCTTCTTGCCTCATAGAATGGGGTTGGACTGGATGGTCCTTGGGGGTCTCTTCCAACTTCGTGATCCTGTTCTATGAAGAACCCCTTTGGAATGTGTGACCCACACTTTGGATGTGTGACCCAAAACAGTCTCAGAGAAGGTTGAGGGCCTTATGTTGTGGATGATCACCTTTTGCTTTTCAGGTCCACTTGCTCAGCCTCTCCAAGGCTACGGTGTCAAGCGGTCACTCGGACGGGAAAGCCATGCCGGAAGAGAGCCATTGCAGGACAAAGTTATTGCCACATCCATGAATCCGGACAGTCCTCTTACGTCAGCTAAGCATCCTCTCCGATTTAGTTCTCTTGTTGACGAACGGCAAGAGAGACCCATCACTTTTAATGGTCTTTTCCAATTATGAGATGCCATTTTTAATCATTGCAAGGTTACCATTTTTATACTGGCACGTTCCCAAGGAAGGGCAGCCTGCATTTCATGGATTTAGCTCATAGCTGGCTCCTCAAATCGTCTTATAATAAGAGAGGTCATCTGTTGATGTAGTAGCTTATGCGGTTCAAGGATTATGTAGTACCCAAAGGAAAGGATTGCCAAGCTACAACCATGACTTGATTCTTGTGGCTTCCTAGACAGGGTTTTGAAAACATCTAATTTAACTAAACAAGAACCTCATCTACCTCTGTTTTCTCTCCCAAAATGGCTTATTTGCATGTGAACCCAAACAGACTTTTTTGGTACTATCTTTAATTAATAAGACACTTGCTATAAAATATAATACAATACAATACAATACAATACAATACAATACAATACAATACAATACAATTATAATATATGTTGTATGTTGTATATGTTGTACATAATATAGTAAATATTATATTATATTAATATTTATAACAAATATATGTATTATAATAAATATATTTATATAATATATTTATTTATAATAAATAAATATATTATATATTTATATAATATAATATAATATAATATAATATAATATAATATAATATAATATAATAAATCCGTTACAAGAAGAAAAGTCAGTGGTTTTATCCCAGTCTAGTTAAGGGTGAGAATCATATGGTCCTCCAGATGTTGGACTACAACTCCCAGCATTCCTCAACACTGGCCAAGGCTGCTAGGAATTAATCATTATATTATATTATATTATATTATATTAAATCCATTACAAGAAAAGTCAGTGGTTTTATCCCAGTCTAGCTAAGGGTGAGAATCATGTGGTCCTCCAGAAGTTGAACTACAACTCCCAGCATTCCTCAACACTGGCCAAGGCTGCTAGGAATTAATAATTAAAATATTTTATATTATATATAAATATAATATAATATAATATAATATAATATAATATAATATATCTGTTAAGAGAGAAAAGTCAGTGGTTTTATCCCAGTCTAGTTAAGGGTGAGAATCATGTGGTCCTCCAGATGTTGGACTACAACTCCCAGCATTCTTCAGCACTGGCCAAGGCTGCTAGGAATTAATCATTATAATATATTATATTATATATAAATATAATATAATATAATCCGTTACAAGAAGAAAAGTTAGTGGTTTTATCCCAGTCTAGCTAAGGTTGAGAATCATGTGGTCCTCCAGATGTTGGACTACAACTCCCAGCATTCCTCAACACTGGCCAAGGCTGCTAGGAATTACAACCCATCAACGCCTGGAGAGACCCGATTCGTACCAATATAATCCGGTACAAGAAGAAAAGTCAGTGGTTTTTTCCCAGTCTAGCTAAGGGTGAGAATCATGCGGTCCTCCAGACGTTGGACTACAACTCCCAGCATTCCTCAAAACTGGCTAAGCCTGATAGGAATTACAGTCCATCAACGCCTGGAAAGACCCAATTTGAACCAATATAAGCCTGGCATAATAAGCTACGATGTCCCAGAACAAAACAGATTATTGTCTTATTTATTATGATAAGTATTGATACCGAAGGAAAGGATTTCCAGGCTGAGGTTGCAAGCTAGTTTTTCAATATTCCCTGCATTCTAGTTGCAATAATTAAATGTGAACCAACCCTTGTGTGTTTCGATTGCATGTTTTGTTCTATGAGAGATTTATCTCCTTCACTATTATCCAAAAAATGTGACTTGTTGTACTATGTCTGAAATTGTGAAGTTTGCACACAAACTCTTAATAAATGTGTTTTACTAAAATATAGTTTACGTTATTGTTTTCTGATTGGGAATCATATGGTTCTTTGGATGTCGGACTATAGTTCTCAGCATTCCTCAGTACTGACCTGGGACTTATAGACCACCGACACCTGAAGTTCTACACCAGGCATGGGCAAACTTGGGCCCTCCATGTGTTTTGGACTTCCATAATTCCTAACAGGCTCCATTCATGCCTCTTCAAATTCCTCATCACTGCTGGTCACAGCTGGCCTCCAGGTAGAGCGCTCAAGGGCCAGGTCTTCCCAATTCTCAGTGTCTGGTGGAGGAGCATTGCTTCAATGCTGGTGGTCTTTGCTTCTTCTTCCAACACGCTGACGTTTGTGCGCCTGACTTCCCAAGAGATCTGCAGGATTTTCCGGAGGCAGCGCTGAAGGAATCGTTCCAGAAGTTGCATGTGATCATAGAATCAAAGAGTTGGAAGAGACCTCCTGGGCCATCCAGTCCAACCCCATTCTGACAAGAATCAGGAATATTGCATTCAAATCACCCCTGACAGATGGCCATCCAGCCTCTGTTTAAAAGCTTCCAAAGAAGGAGCCTCCACCACACTCCGGGGCAGAGAGTTCCACTGCTGAACGGCTCTCACAGTCAGAAGTTCTTCCTCGTGTTCAGATGGAATCTCCTCTCTTGTAGTTTGAAGCCATTGTTCCGCGTCCTAGTCTCCAGGGAAGCAGAAAACAAGCTTGCTCCCTCCTCCCTGTGGCTTCCTCTCACATATTTATACATGGCTATCATATCCCCTCTCAGCCTTCTCTTCTTCAGGCTAAACATGCTCAGCTCCTTAAGCCGCTCCTCATAGGGCTTGTTCTCCAGACCTTTTATCATTTTAGTCGCTCTCCTCTGGACACATTCCAGCTTGTCAATATCTCTCTTGAATTGTGGTGCCCAGAATTGGACACAATATTCCAGATGTGGTCTAACCAAAGCAGAATAGAGGGGTAGCACTACTTCCTTAGATCTAGACACTATGCTCCTATTGATGCAGGCCAAAATCCCATTGGCTTTTTTTGCCGCCACATCACATTGTTGGCTCATGTTTAACTTGTTGTCCACGAGGACTCCAAGATCTTTTTCACACGTACTGCTCTCAAGCCAGGCATCCCCCATTTGTATCTTTGCATTTCGTTTTTCCTGCCAAAGTGGAGTATCTTGCATTTGTCCCTGTTGAACTTCATTTTGTTAGTTTTGGCCAATCATCTCTCTAATCTGTCAAGATCGTTTTGAATCCTGCTCCTGTCCTCTGGAGTATTGGCTATCCCTCCCAATTTGCTCCTCCCCCTCCCCGATCCCATCCCCCCCATCGCCAAATTCCACCCTCCGCCCATCGTCGCCCACCCCCCCATCACCCCCCCTCCGTTCCCCCCATCCAATCCTCCCAGGCTCGCCCGCTCCCCCCTCCCGCCAATCCGGGGGTCTGCTCCTGTCCTCTGGCTCTCCCTCCCAATTTGGTGTTGTTTGCAAACTTGATGATCATGCCTTCTAACCCTTCATCTAAGTCATTAATAAAGATGTTGAACAGACCCAGGCCCAGGATGGAACCCTGCGGCACACCGCTCGTCACTTATTTCCAAGATTAAGCGGAAGCATTGGTGAGCACCCTCTGGGTTCATCTGCTTAAACAATTACAGATCCACCTAACCATAGTTTTGCCTAGCCCACATTGGACTAGTTTGTTTGCCAGAAGGTCATATAGGACCTTGTCGAAGGCCTTCCTGAAACCCAGGTACGCAGTGGTTTTTCCCTTCATATTTCATATAAATACATATAAAGGATGGGAGTGGTATAGCAGGGTTGGGAGGACAATAGCTTTATAAGCAAGCACCTTGGTATCCCTACGGATGTCCCAGTCCTCAAACACTCTCTGCTTCACTCAGGGAAATGCTGCACTCACAGAGCTCAGGCAATGTTGTATATTTCAGTGTCAATGTTGACTTTTGTGGGGAGGTGGCTGCCAAGGGAGCGGAAATGGTCAACATTTTCTAATGTTATGAGCTATGGGATATTCTAATGTCTAGACGAGTGTTTCTCAACCTGGGGGTCGGGACCCCTGTGGGGGTCGCAAGGGGGTGTCAAAGGGGTTTCCAAAGACCATCAGAAAACACAGTATTTTATGTTAATCATGGGGTTCTGTGTGGGAAGTTTGGCCCAATTCTATTGTAGGTGAACTATAAATCCCAGCAACTACAACTCCCAAATGTCAAGGTCTATTTCCCCCAAACTCCACCAGTGTTCACATTTGGGCATATTGAGTATTCATGCCAAGTTTGGTCCAGATCCAGCATTGTTTGAGTCCACAGTGCTCTCTGGATGTAGGTGAACTACAACTCCAGAATTCAAGGTCAATGCCCACCAAACCCTTCCATTATTTTCTGTTGGTCATGGGAGTTCTGTGTACCAAGTTTGGCCCAATTCTATCATTGGTGGAGTTTGGAACGCTCTTTGATTGTAGCTGAACCATAAATTCCAGCAACTGCAACTCCCAAATGACAAAATCAATCCCCCTCCAAGCCCACCAGTATTCCATTTTTACTGTATCAGGTATTTGTGCCAAATTTTGTCCAGTGAATGTAAACACATCCTGCCTATCAGATATTTACATGACGATTCATAACAGTAGCAAAATTACAGTTGTGAAGTAGTAATGAAAATAATGTTATGATTGGGAATCACCACAACAGGAGGAACTGTATTAATGGTTCACAGCATTAGGATGGTTGAAAAACACTGCTCTAGACTATATAGACCCCAACCATACATCTTTCATACAATATATATATATATGGTTGATATATATATATATATATATCAACCATATATATATAAAGCGCATCATACTAGGTAAGAGTCAATCAGAAGTGCTTTACCATTTCCTTTTGCAACATACAAGTTGAGCATTGCTTATCCAGAATTTTAAAATCCCCCAATGGTCACTGAGACAGTGATAGTTCTTTCTGACAGTTCATTTTACTGTCACTGCAATCGTAAAAGAAAGATCGGCATTAAAATACAATAGTATCACTTTGAATAAACTCTTCAAACAGTTTCTTATTAATTGTTCTGAAAACTCTGCATCCTATTTAGGCAAGTTTTGCATCCTAATATCTTTGTGTTTTATATTTTGGACTATAAAAACAGCCAGCAAGTAAGGGCTATTTTAATTAAATTGTTTGTTAAAACTGAGAGTTTGATTCATCTCTTCCTAAACAAGGTAGAGCCCTAGCAACGTGACAGTCAATGAATGCTGAGCTTCTTGTATGCTTCTGCACAGGTTTTTAGAATGGCTTGTAGATCTTCTGAATGCACACAAACTACATTATCATCAGTATATTGGAGTTCTATAACAGATCTTTTAGCATAATCAGAAATGGAAACAAAGTGGGTTTCAGTCTCTAGTCCGCTGAAAATACAACAATAAAGAATGGGATTTTCCTGCAAGATAAGTAACAGATGTTTCTAGAAATCCTTATAATAATTGCTCTTAACAAGAGATGAAATTAGGGCAGATGATATCTTTTCTTTCAAATCTGTCCCAGAAATCCACCTGTATGCATAACCTGTATGCATATCAAAACTATGACAAAAAAAGCTTTTGCTTAAAACAGCAGGTAGAAGCAGACCGCGTAAGTAAGAATGGACACTTTTATTGAATTTGGTTTACAATGGATTCATTTGCAGAATTGCAACAAGGGGGGAAATTAAGCAACTGGCTTGCTGAATGGAAGGGGACCTGTGCCTTTCCCCCTTGAAGTAGAGATGCTCGTTACCTGTGACAGGTAGAGAACTTTTCCTTCTTTGTGGAAGACGTTAAAAAAGGACCATCAATGCTAACTTAAGAGTTTGCCTTTACAGTTACAAACATTCCTGCAGGAGAGACACGTAACTTGACAAACCTTAATTCTGTGACTAGAAACCACTCAGAGTGAACGGCTCCTTTGCAGTCTAGGATCTTCAGAGCAGCAGTCGTTGGGTCTCAAAGCTGGGAATTTCCGTATACGAATCATCTACTTTCTCCCTGAGTTTTGTACATTTCCCTCTTTCATTTCCCTTCTCACCCAAATACCTGGGAGTCACTCTGGACCGTGCTCTGACCTACAAGAAGCACTACCTGAATATCAAGCAAAAAGTGGGCGCTAGAAACAATATCATACAAAAGCTGACTGGCACAACCTGGGGATCACAACCAGATACAGTGAAGACATCTGCCCTTGCGCTATGCTACTCTGCTGCTGAGTATGCATGCCAAGAGTGGAACACATCTCACCACACTAAAACAGTAGATGTGGCTCTTAATGAGACATGCCGTATTATCACGGGGTGTCTGCGCCCTACACCACTGGAGAAATTACACTGCTTAGCTAGTATTGCTCCACCTGACATCCGCCGGGAAGTGGCAGCCAATAGTGAAAGGACCAAGGCAGAGACATCTCCAGCTCATCCCCTGTTTGGGTATCACTCAGCAGGTCAACGACTTGAATCAAGAAATAGTTTTCTAAGTTCTACAGAGACACTCGCTGGAACACCCCAGCAAGCGAGAGTTCAAAAGTGGCAGGCTCAAACCCAGAACCTGAATCAATGGCTGATACTAAATGAGAGACTCCTCCCTGGGCACACAGAAAACTGGGAGATTTGGAAGGCGCTGAACAGACTGTGCTCTGGCACCACGAGATGCAGAGCCAACCTCAAGAAACAGGGCCACAAAGTGGAATCCTCGACAAGCGAGTGTGGAGAAGAGCAAACCACTGACCATGTGCTGCAATGCAACCTGAGCACAATGGAGGACCTTCTTGCGGCAACACCAGAGGCACTCCAAGTGCCCAGATACTGGTCCAAGGACATTTAATCTACTACCAAGCTTGCAAACTTTGTGTTTTGTTTGTTTGTTTGTTTGATTGATTGTTAAAAAATGCAATACAACTGTTTGTTTTGCCCCTGACACAATACATAAATAAATTTCCCTTCTGAAAAAGGTATACCTTCATGCCCTTTCCTCTCCGTTTTGCTCTCAAACTTGCGAACGATGTTGCCTTTCAGACTACAACTCCCAGCAAGTGGCTGTACGTGCTGGGGGGATTCTGGGAGTTGTAGTACCCAAAGCAATCCTCCTAAGCTCTGCCCTGCCCATTAACAAGAAATCTATATGAGGCCCATTTTGTATTTTTCCTCCTTTAATTGCTAAGCAACTTTATAGAAAACAAAGAGCAGAGATTCTGAAATCACCCCAGATCTATTCAAGTGCTTCTTTTGTAGTTTTCACAGTGGTCAGAAAGAAGGAATGGAATGATTTGGTGCATTAAATTTTTCCTCTCCTTGCCGTGGCTTCAGGTGAGTGGAATCTCCCCAAAAGTAGATGATTTGAGGCAAAATAGCACTTCGCTTTGGAAAAAACCACCAAGGAAGGCCTGACTATTTTGACACGTAAACAAGCAGCAGAGCCAGTTGGGTTGGTTCCCCGGTCAACGCAACTCCATCCCTTTGCAAGGTTTCCCATAACTGCTTCTAGGAAAGCAACGTAAGCCCCGCCACTCAGCTACGAAGTCGTGCTTTGTAAATAAAAGCAACTCCTTTTTTCAAAGATCTACGTCTGTTTTTGGAAAGTGAAAGAGTCTTCCTTGAAGCCTACTGTTCCAATACCCTGAACAGTCCTTTTTCAAATTCTCCATCGTTGGCTCCAGTGAAAGACGACCTGAGTCTGGATGCAACGTTTCAGGGAGACGCAGCGGCTTCGTCCCTCGTTGTCATTTCCGGGCGATGTCGTAGTTGGAACAAAACCAGTCACACGTTTCCTTCACGGCTAGGAAAGGAAGGGGAGAAAAGGTGGTCAGCGCCAAAGAAGCCCAAAAAGAGTAATTTTTGAGGGATTGAGAGAGAGATTAAGGACATTTGTAACCCATCCTATCTTGACCTCCACAGACGGATTCAGGGCGGCTAACAACCGGCACACCATGGTGCCCACAACTCAAAGCATAACTATACAATTTAAATAAAAACAATAGAAAAACAGCATAAAAACATTCAAACAGTCGTCTTGCTTCTCCTTTCCCATATTCTTGGTTAATATAATGTTGTTGTTGTTTTGCTTTAAAGTTTAAAGCCGGCGAGCTTTCCAAATTCCTCAATTTTGTTTAGCCAGTTCTTAATATTGTCTCTAGGGTTTTCTATAATTGCGATTACATCATCTGCATAGGCTCTGGCTTTATATTCCTGTTTTCCCATTTTTTACTCCTTTAATCATCTTGTCTTCTTGAATAATCTTCAATAAAATTTCTAAGGCCATTATAAAAATTAAAGGAGAGATGGGGCATCCTTGCCTAGATCCTTTGCCAGTCATAAATTCCTCAGAAATTTGACCATTTATTTGAATTCTCGCCTTTTGGTTTTTATAAATTCCTTCAATAGCATTGATAAATTGGAATCCAAGATCCATTTCTCTCATTAAAATTGTGAAAAAGTCCCAGTTCAATTTGTCAAAGGCCTTCTCTGCATCCAAGGGAAGGAAGGCCACCTCCTTCTGAGGATTTCATGGAATCATAGAATCCTAGAGTTGGAAGAGACCTCATGGGCCATCCAGTCCAACCCCATTCTGCCAAGAAGCAGGAATATTGCATTCAAATCACCCCTGACAGATGGCCATCCAGCCTCTGTTTAAAAGCTTCCAAAGAAGGAGCCTCCACCACACTCCGGGGCAGAGAGTTCCACTGCTGAACGGCTCTCACAGTCAGGAAGTTCTTCCTCATGTTCAGATGGAATCTCCTCTCTTGTAGTTTGAAGCCATTGTTCCGTGTCCTAGTCTCCAGGGAAGCAGAAAACAAGCTTGCTCCCTCCTCCTCCCTGTGGCTTCCTCTCACATATTTATACATGGCTATCATATCTCCTCTCACCCTTCTCTTCTTCAGGCTAAACATGCCCAGCTCTTAAGCCGCTCCTCATAGGGCTTGTTCTCCAGACCCTTGATCATTTTAGTCGCTCCTCCTCTGGACACATTCCAGCTTGTCAATATCTCTCTTGAATTGTGGTGCCCAGAATTGGACACAATATTCCATGTGTGGTCTAACCAAAGCGGAATAGAGGGGTAGCATTACTTCCCTAGATCTAGACACTATGCTCCTATTGATGCAGGCCAAAATCCCATTGGCTTTTTTTGCTGCCACATCACATTGTTGGCTCATGTTTAACTTGTTGTCCACGAGGACTCCAAGATCTTTTTCACACGTACTGCTCTCGAGCCATTGTCCCCCATTCTGTATCTTTGCATTTCGTTTTTCCTGCCAAAGTGGAGTATCTTGCATTTGTCCCTGTTGAACTTCATTTTGTTACTTTTGGTCAATCATCTCTCTAATCTGTCAAGATCATTTTGAATCCTGATCCTGTCCTCTGGAGTATTGGCTCTCCCTCCAAATTTGGTGTCGTCTGCAAACTTGATGATCCTGCCTTCTAACCCTTCATCTAAGTCATTAATAAAGATGTTGAACAGGACCGGGCCCAGGATGGAATACTTTGATTTGCTTCAAAGTATTCAATCATATCAATTACAATCCTCAGATTGTCTTTTATATTTCTTTTGGGGAGGAAACCTACTTGCTCCTCCCCAATCCAACTACTTATAAAATTCTTTTAGTCTTTGGGCCAAAATATTCGTAAAAATTTTGTAATCTGTGTTCAAGAGTGAAATGGGTCTATAATTGCAAACATCTGATTTTTCCGCTTGTTCTTTGTGTATTACTGTTATTTCGGCTGAATTCCATGTTTCCGGGACTCCCTGGTTTTGGAGCACCCCGTTCATCACTTTTTTTTAACATTGGCATCAATTCTTTTTTAAAAGAGAACCCGTCTGGGCCAGGAGCTTTATTAGCATCCATCCTTTTTATTGCACCTTCGATCTCCTCTTCTGTTATTTCTTCATTAAGATTTTCTCTTTGGGTGTCGGAGATTTTAGGCAATTTAAGTTTGCCTAAATATTTTACAATATCTTCTTTGTGAATTCTATCATTTTTAAATAGCTTTTCGTAATATTCCTTAAATTCTGCTAAAATTTCTCTATCTGTTGTTATCTCCTCATTATCTTTCTTAATTTTAATTATCCTTTGTGACTGTTTGTTCTTCCGAACTTGATTAGCAAGCCATTTACCTGATTTATTTGCATTTTCAAAATGCTGTTGTTTTAAATATTTTAACTGCCGTGCTTGTTCCTCAAGTTCTATATTGTTCCTTTTATGATGCAATAATTCAGTTTCTTTAATTACTACCCTGCTTCCTGGATTTTTCCTGGAGCTAGGTGTGAATGTTTCAACTGACCACCTTGATTAGCATTTGATGGTCCGGCAATGCCTGGGGGAATCTTTGAATACTCATAGCCAAATGAACAAAATCTGGCTACCATTATTAAAAAACTCTAATATTACAACAGCAAAACAACAGAGAGGAAACAATCAGGGACAGCTAATCACCTCTCAACTAAAGATTGCCCCAGGCACTGCCAGGCCATCAAATGCTAATCAAGGTGGTCAGTTGAAACATTCACACCTAGCTCCAGCATACAAGAGTCCTTTGTCCCACCCTGGACATTCCACAGATATATAAACCCAATTTTCCTAGTTCCAAGAGACCTCATAACCTCTGAGGATGCTTGCCATAGATACAGGCAAAACGTCAGGAGAGAATGCCTCTAGAACATGGCCATTTGGCCCGAAAAATCCTACAACAATGCAAAGCTAAAGATTTCGCAAAATTACAACTCTGATTATTTCATACTATCAAGCCATGACAGTACATCAGGTATGGCCTCTCCAGGTGTTTTGGACTTCAACTCCCACAATTTCTAACAGAAAGGAGGCTGTTAGGAATTGTGGGAGTTGGGGTACAAAACACCTGGAGGGCCCAAGTTTGCCCACACTTGCTTTAAGGTCACCATAAGCCAGAGATGACTTGAAAGCACAGAACAGCAACGCTACAGAGAAGAGTCCCTCGCTATTTCGCGGTTTGCTTCTGCGGCCTTGTTGTTTTGTGGGGAGCAGCAAGGGAACACTGTATAGCTCCTCCCCGTTCCTTCCTCGCCAGGCTGGGTGCCCAAAGGTGCCCAGCCTGGCGAGGAAGGGATCTCTGAGGCAGGGAGCAGCGAAGGTTGTGAGAAGGAGGATGCGGCTGCCGAAGGGGGTCTTGGCGGCGACGTCCTCTTCCTCGTCCCTCCGCTGTTCTCCGCTCCTTCCTCGAAAGGCTGGGCACCAGGCTTGGGAGTCCAGCCTGGCGAAGAAGGGACCTCCAAGGCGGGGACCAGCGGAGGTGGCGAAGAAGAGGCTGCAGCGAAGTAGGCACACGCCACCCACTCGAGTGGGCTACGCGTCCCTACTTCACGGATTTTCACTTATCACGGGTGGTCCTGGAACGGAACACCCGCGATAAGTGAAGGAACACTGTACTACAACACGGGAAGGCCAGGAAGAGTTGCAACTTCGGAGGACTCTTTTAGGGCAAGGCAAATGGGCCTGCTTTCCGTGCCGACCTTCGGTCAGTTTGTCCTTACCTCTCTCAAAAGGTGTGAATTTGAAATCCGGGAGGTGTGCCTTCAGCTTCTTGTTGCTGGCTGTTTTCTTGAACTGCCCGTCCGACTTGGTTGCGTCAAACTAAGAAAAGGCTCAGGTTAAAGGAAATATAAGTAGTTGGGTGTTGCCTGACTCTAGGAAGAAGGAAGTCCTTCTTCCCAAAACTGACTGGAATATAAAGGCATTTTTAATAAAAAGGTCTTTATTAGGAAACCCTTCCAAAAGATACAAGGACCTCTCCCTTGAAGTCCATGGCTCTCACGATGCTGTCCGCCGCTTCCCGTATGGAGACTTCGTCTTCTTCTCCAACTGAAGATGGAAACCCAGCATGCACTGTTATGGCAAGTGTGGGGGATTCTCCACGTTCACACAAACCATTGCTACATGCCCACTTCTCCAACATCCCCTTCCTCCTGCCAAATAGATTTATGGAGTTTGGAAACAAACTCCTCCTTTGCTACTTTGGGGGGGGGGGGGTGTCAAATTCTGCTGACTTTTGCCATATTCTGCCTATTGGGAGAGGGATTTTAGATCCAGCAGGATTGTCTTTGAGGTGTACATTTTTCTCTTTCAAATACTGGTCGAACGTGCATTCTTTGTCAGTGCAATGTTGCTTATACCCTGTTAACTTTCAAATACTGAAAGTCTTGTCTCCATTTTCTCCCAAGTGTACAAGCTATAGGACTTCTAGGTGTTTCTCTATAATCTCCAACGTGTTATGGAACTGCATCCAGGCATTTTCTAGCTGCTTTAAAGGAGCTATTTCAGTGCTGGTTTGGGGGCAGGATAGACCAAAGGGCCACAAACAAGGTGGAAGGAGTTCCGAAGAAGGCAACCAAAATGGTCAAAGGTTTGGTCAAACCGCAAATCCCTCTGAGGGGAGGCTTAAAGTGTCTCTTTATGGCGCGAAAAGCAGGGTAATAACAAACATAATAATAACAACAACAACAATGTATTGTCGAAGGCTTTCATGGCCGGAATCACTGGGTTGTTGAAGGTTTTTCGGGCTATATGGCCATGTTTTAGAGGCATTCTCTCCTGACATTTTGCCTGCATCTATGGCAAGCATCCTCAGAGGTAGTCATAGATGCAGGCAAAACATCAGGAGAGAATGCCTCTAGAACATGGTCATATAGCCTGAAAAAACCTACAACAACCCAACAACAACAATAATAAACTGGATCAGTTTAACTTGGAGAAGGTTGAGAGGAGATATAAGAGCTAAAAGCCCAGGCTGTAGCACAACTGGGTAATTGCCCACAGCAATATATCACTGACGACCAGAAGGTGGCAAGTTTGAAGCCCGTCTGAGTGAGCACCCGACTGTTAAGTCTAGCTTACTGTATACCTAAGCAGTTTGAAAACAGCTGAACTGTGAGTAGAAAAATTAGGTACTGCTTATAAAGCAGAGAGGCATTTTACGACACCATAAAATGCCGGCGATCAAAGAACAAGGAGAAAATACTATGATCAAAATGACTCAGCATCAAAGTAGATGGAATGATGAGGTGAGCCTGCCACCCCCACATCCATCCTCCTCCTCCTCGCCTTTCCTCCCTCCCTCCTTGCTTGCTTTCTGTCATATGTTCCATAGTTGATGGTGGTTGGTGGTGGCAGACCTGGCAGTTAGTGATGGAAGGGTTAATGTAAGTCTTGGTTCTAAAGGGCTGAGTAGTTTGTAAGTAACAGTTACAGGTAAAAGCAATTAAGGGTGGTGGTATTCAGGGGATAGGTTGCAGCTGGGTGTTACTGGATTTAAGGAGCTAACCTTGGGACTGATCTTTGGGAGAAAAGTATTGTCATATTTTGATGGTGGATGCTGCTGGTTTTTCCCCCAGGTCTGTTGGATTTTTGGTATCCTGACCCGTCTCCTGTAATCTTGGAACCCTGGAACCTTGAACCTTTGGACTGGCTTTTCACTATGGTATAGAATCTTGATCCCTGGACTTTGTTTATTGAACTCTCGGCATTTGACCACTGGACTGGACCCTTTGACTATGGTGTAGCTTTTGCTATCAGTTTTTGTTTATTCTGTGGCTGAGCGCAATCTTTATGTTTTATGTTTTATATTTCGGTCTATTAAAACAGCCAGCAAGTAAGTGCTGCTTTAATTAAACTGTTTGATAAAACTGGGAGTTTGGTTCATCTCTACCTAAATAAGGCAGAGCCATGGCAACGTGACACTTTCTTTCCTCCGCCATGGTGCCAGAGGGGGCTTCTTCTGCCCAGCAGACCCCTCTGAAGCAGGAGAAGTTCCAGTAAAGTGGCCAGCCAATGGGAGGCAGACCCTGCTGTCCGTTAATTGGCTGGGCTGGCCACCCTCAGGAGCTTCAAAAGGGCTGCGGAACGCCGTGCCAAGCAGCGTGCCTTCCCTGTGCCTGCTACTGGTTTCTCCAGCGACGTCTGGAAGCAGGTTTGTTTGGGCCTTCAGCCCAATTTTTGGCTGTATAAATATTAAAATTAATATAGTGTCCCTACTTTGTGAATTTTCACTTATGGCGGGTGGTCCTGGAACTGAACACCCGCAATAAGTGAGGGAACACTGTAGTAACAAGCTCAGAGTTGGAGGCAGGAGTGAGAGTAGATGGGACTCCTGATGGTGTCTTATTATGGACTCTACAGTTTGTGGCTCAAAAACTACACTGCTGGCCCTTATAGAGTTGTTGCTTCCCAAAACTGGATCTCAGCACTTGAAATCAATTCCGAGAATACATCTCAGTCTCGTCTTAAGATCAGTGGTTCTCACTGAAACCTGAGTTGTGGGAAATTTGTTTCCAATGTGAGGTGAGCTATCCAAGGTGCTGATTCCTATTTCCAAAACAGAGCTCAGCACCTTGGACAGCTCATCTAAACATCTAGACCAGCGGTCGGGAACCTTTGGCTCTCCAGGTGTGGTGGACTTCAACTCCCACAATGCCTTGAGGCTCGGCACTAGCGGGCGGGGCCGAAGCGGCGAGGAGGCGCATTGCCCGCAGGGGTTTCCGCCCGCTCTCTCCCTCCGAGGCCAGCCTTTGCTGCCCGTCCTCCATGAAAAAGAGGCCTCGGAGGGAGAGAGCGGGCGGAAACCCCTGCGGGCAACGCGCCTCCTCGCCGCTTCGGCCCCGCCCGCTAGTGCCGAGCCTCAAGGCATTGTGGGAGTTGAAGTCCACCACACCTGGAGAGCCATAGGTTCCCGACCGCTGATCTAGACCAATGTTTTTCAACCTGGGGGTCGGGACCCCTAGGGGGGTCATGAGAGGGTGTCAGAGGGGTCACCAAAGACCATCAGAAAACACAGTATTTTCTGTTCATCATGGGGGTTTGGAAAGTTTGGCCCAATTCTATCGTTGGTGGGGGTCAGAATGGTCTTTGATTGTAGACGAAATATCAATCTGGGCAACTACAACACCCAAATGTCAAGGTCTATTATCCCCAAACTCCACCAGTGTTCACATTCAGGCATATTGAGTATTCATGCCAAGTTTGGACCAGATTCATCATTGTTGGATCCACCTCCATCATCTCTGGATGAAGGTGAACTACAACTCCAAAACTCAAGGCCAATGATCATGGGAGTTCTGTGTGCCAAGATTGGTTCAATTCCAATTGTTGGTGGAGTTCAGAATGCTTTAGGTGAACTATAAATCCCAGCAACTACATCTCCCAAATGACAAAATCAATCCCCCCCCCCCCCCCAACTCTACCAGTATTCAAATTTGGGTGTATTGGGTATGAGTGCCAAACTTGGTCCAGTGAATGAAAATACATCTTGCATATCATATATTTACATTACAATTCGTAACAGTAGCAAAATTACAGTTATGAAGTAGCAACGAAAATAATTTCATGGTTGGGGGTCACCACAACATGAGGGACAGTATTAAGGGGTCATGGCAGTAGGGAGGTTGAGAAACACTGATCTAGGCAGCTTCATCACTGAACTGAGGCAGGAATCACCAACTCCTACTATTTGGGAGCAATCATACACCTGCATGGGAGATGGAGATGCTGGAGGAAGTGCAAATTTAACAAGGCAGACCTCACCAGACAAAATGATGGGTTCTACTTCGTCGTATTCTCTTAATACCCAGAGGAAGAGGCGTGCCAAGTCCTGCAGGTAGAACAGAAGAGAGATTTGGGTCCAATCCTGGTCTCTCAAGAGTTGCATAATCATTCCGAATCTGAGGGAGTGCCAATACCCGCAAACATATACATATGGCCCCAGATGTCTTCCTACTATTGACTGCCCTGGTCCATCACCTGGAAACCTCCCACATGAACACATGAAGTTGTGAGTAAACCAAATATGTTATTTTACCAAAGCCTACTTCATTTTTGTCTCTTGAGTGCATGATAAAGAAACAAGCTGGTTTATGGGAGAGTAGATATGTTTTTTGGCACTGAAAACACTGCTGCTTTCATGCACTGGCAAATGTGTTTTCCTAACAGATCAGAGACAACAGACTCAGTCTAATAACTGAAGCCTTGAACTGAGTTGCCTTGAATATTACATCTGGTTATATACCACTTGAGAAGAGTCTACTCAAATTGGTTTTTGGCTCTTCTCTGAAAGGTCATGCTTTTCCAAATAGTCAACCTCTGATGGAAGTCAAGCTGAAGAAGGGAAAGAATCCTGTCCCCCAAACAGCTCCCATTCACCCAGATCTCCCAAATCTCAAGATGACAAGATTACCAGAGAGTAAATGAACTGCCTCCTTGGCTTTCCTGTCCCCCAGACAGTAAGAGCTGTGCCATTTTCTGCAAAATATAAGGAATATTTAATGAATACTTTTAGCTCAGTGGCTCTAAACCAGGTATGGACAAACTTGGGCCCTCCCTCCAGGTGTTTGGCCTTCAACTCTCACCATTCCTAACAGCCTACTGGCTGTTAGGAATGGTGGGAGTTGGAGTCCAAAACACCTGGAGGGAGGGCCCAAGTTTATCCAGGTCTGGTATAAATGGAGGACATTCAAGCAACAGCACAGAAGCTATTTCAAATGAGAATTGTATATACTCACTCTTTGCTAAGTACACTTTGTGGATGAGCCCCGGGAGGACATGGCCATCCTCGATGTTGTAGTTGTCGTGAGGCCCAAAGACATTGGTGGGGATGACGGCAGTGAAGCGGCAACCGAACTGTTCGAAGTAAGCCCTGATGGGAGGAAAATGAGCAAAAAGAGGAAGGGGAAAATGTTGCAAGATCAATTAAATCAGAGCCTTAACAAGGGCTTGAAAAAAGGTTGAAAAAATGGAGATGAGCACCACCCCCCAGAGTCGGACACGACTGGACTTCATGTCAGGGGATAACCTTTACCTTTACTTATTATTAGTAGTAGTATTAAACTGTATTACATTATAATATTATAAATATTCTGAAACCTTGCTATATATCTTTCTGTGTATTGGCATATTTTTGTTCCTAACAGTTCAAAGACGTATTTAGGATATCAGTTTAACAGATGAGAGACCTAATTGCAATTTTCCGAAAAGATTATGGCATCCTTTTTCTAACAAGATCACGCCTTTCCATAGATCATAAAATCTGCAAAAGGTTATGGAGATTTCCATTTTCCAAACCTCCAAAGGATAATTCAAATAAAGCTGCTCCGGGTCTCCTTGTGGAGAGAAAAACAATAATAATGGCAATATCAATAATGATAATAATATCAATGATGATGATAATAATAATAATAATAATAACATTAGAAAATGTTGACCATTTCTGCTACCTTGGCAGCCACCTCTTCACCAAAGTCAACATTGACACCGAAATACAACACCGCCTGAACTCTGCGAGTGCAGCATTTTCCCGAATGAAGCAGAGAGTGTTTGAGGACCGGGACATCTGTAGGGATACCAAGGTGCTTGTCTATAAAGCTATTGTCCTCCCAACCCTGCTATATGCCTGCGAAACGTGGACTGTCTACAGACGTCACATGCAACTCCTGGAACAATTCCATCAGCGCTGCCTCCGGAAAATCCTGCAAATATCTTGGGAAGACAAGCGGACAAACGTCAGCGTGCTGGAAGAAGCAAAGACCACCAGCATTGAAGCGATGGTCCTCCGTCATCAACTCCGCTGGACCGGCCACGTTGTCCGGATGCCTGACCACCGTCTCCCAAAGCAGTTGCTCTACTCTAAACTCAAGATCGGAAAACGGAATGTTGGAGGACAGGAAAAGAGATTGAAAGATGGCCTCAAAGCCAACCTTAAAAACTCTGGCATAGACACTGAGAACTGGGAAGCCCTGGCCCTTGAGTGCTCCAGCTGGAGGTCAGCTGTGACCAGCAGTGCTACAGAATTTGAGGAGGCACGAGTGGAGGGTGAAAGAGAGAAATGTGCCAGGAGGAAGGCGCGTCAAGCCAACCCCGACCGGGACCGCCTTCCGCCTGGAAACCAATGCCTTCACTGTGGGAGAAGATGCGGGTCAAGAATAGGGGTCCACAGCCACCTACGAACCCACAAGAATATTGGAAGACCATCTTACTCATCCAACGAGGGATTGCCTAAGAATAATAATAATAATAATAATAATAATAATAATAATAATAGATGCAAAATTTAGCAAACGAGATTCCCGCTAAAATATTTGCTCACTAGCAAAGCAGACAGGAACAGAATTTCTATTATTATTATTATTATTAATTTATTTATTTATTTGCTATACTTGTATACCGCTGTTTCTCAGCCTAGCCGGCGACTCAACGCGGTTTACAACAAAATACAACAGTCAACAGTATACAATTTATCAACAGTATACAATTTATCAACAGTATACAATTTATTATTATTATTATTATTATTATTATTATTATTATTATTATTATTAGTATCATTTGAAACATGAGTCCACAGCAGACAAGATCACTCTGCTGGCTGTCGTATTGGATCACACGTTGGACACTTCCCAAGTGTATAGGACTGTGTGATGTATCGGCAAATAATGTGTGCAGAACCCAGTAGGGTGGCCTTTTGCAGCTGGCAGATGGTAATTTTTTTCAGCGCCGATTGTGTTTAAGTGCAGGCCAAGGACTTGAGGCACTGCACCCAGTGTGCCGATCACTACTGGGACCACCTTGACAGGCTTGTGCCAGACTCTTTGCAGTTCGATCTTTAAATCCTCATATCATGTCAGTTTTTCTGGTTGTTTCTGCTGTCATCTGGGACTGCGACATCGACGATCTACACTCTGTTTTTTAATATGATCGGGAGGTCAGGAGTCTTGTGCTCCAAAACTCTGTCTGTCTGAATCCAGAAGTCCCAGAGTACCTTGGCGTGTTCATTTTCTGTAACTTTTTCCGGCTTGTGATCCCACCAGTTCTTTGTCGCAGGCAGATGGTGTTTGTGGCACAAGTTCCAATGAGTCCTCTGAGCAACGGTGTTATGCCTCTGCTTGTAGTCTGTCCCCACGATCTTCTTGCAGCAGCTGAGAATGGGATCTATTGTTTCACCCACTTCCTTGCAGAGTCTACACTTGGGATCTGTTGTCAACTTTTCAATTCTGGCTTTGATGGCATTTGTTCTAATGGCTTGTTCTTGGGCTGCCATAATTATTATTATTATTATTGGAAACACAACAAGATGAGTCCACAGCAGACACTCTGCTGGCTGTTGTCTTGGATCACACGTCGGACACTTCCCAAGTGTCTAGGACTGTGTGATGTATCGGCAAATAATGTGTGCAGATCCCAGTAAGGTGGCCTTCTGCAGCTGGCAGGTGGTAATTTTGTCAGCGCCGATTGTATTTAAGTGCAGGCCAAGGTCTTTAGGCTTTGCACCCAGTGTGCCGATCACCACTGGGACCACCTTGGGTCCACATTATTATTACTATTATTATTATAATTGTTGGCACAAAAGTACAGTATGTCACAGCAAATGAGATCTATATGCTGGATATTATTATTATTATTATTATTATTATTATTATTATATATTTATAATAATAAATTATATTTATACCCCGCTTTATCTCTCCTGAAGAAGATTACAAACAGCTTAACATAAAAGCATTAGCATACAGCTTAAAGTATACCAATGTTCAAACATCAAAATAGGATGACATATCAACAATATTTTAAAAAATCCCACTTAAAAACCATTATAACCAGAATGTGGAAAATCACTTTGGACATATTTATGAAGAGATGAAATCCCTCTTGGGGATATTTTAATTATGGATTTCTCCAGTGGCAGAGAGTTGACCCCTCGAAGTTATTCCAGCTTTATGATTCAAAATATGCATCTACTACAGGCATGGGCAAACTTGGGCCCTCCGGGTGTTTTGGACTTCAACTCTCACCACTCCTAACAGCCTCGGGCCCTTTCCTTTTCCCCCTCAGCCACTTAAGCAGCTGAGGGGGAAAAGGAAGGGACCTGAGGCTGTTAGGAATTGTGGGAGTTGAAGTCCAAAACACCTGGAGGGCCCAAGTTTGCCCATGCCTCCACTTGAGCCTTTGGGGAGACTGTCCTTTCCCCACTGCAGCCCTACATAAAAGCCACCCAGCTATTGATAATGACGGAAACAGCCTGAAACAGGGAATGGTTTATAAACTGAGCAAGTTTTCATGGACAAGAAAGAGAGCCAGAAGGGACATACCTGTTCTGGACGTCAATCATCCTCTTTGCATAGGAATAGCCAAAGTTTGAGCTGTGCGGGGGACCGTTGTGGATCTGGAAGGGAACATTCACCATTGTTTTCAATTAGCATCTTAAAAACTTGGCGAAATCAAAACTAGGAAGTGAAGGTAGAGGAAAGATGAGCAAATACAGGAATGGTTAGGAAGGAAGGCGTGAATGTCAGTCAACGGTGTGATGCTGCAGCCAAAAAGGCCAATGCGATTCTAGTGTCCAGATTGTGGGGAGTTGTATGTGTATTCTCTTCTGTTTTGGTCAGACCTCCTCACCTGGAATAATAACTCTGGAGTCCAGTTCTGGGCAAAGCAAATGAAGGAGGAGATGTAAAAGATGGAAAGTGTCCAGAGAAAGGTCACCAAAATAGTCTAAGTCAGTGCTTCTCAACCTGGGGGGTCAGGATCCTTGGGGTGGGGGATCACCAATAACCATCAGAAAACACAGTACTCTCTGTTGGTTATGGGGGTTCTCTGTGGGGAGTTTGGCCCAATTCTATCGCTGCTGGGGTTCAGAATGCTCTTTGATTGTAGGTGAACTATAAATCCCAGTAATTACAACTCCCAAATGTCAAGGTCTATTTTCCCCAAACTCCACCAGTGTTCACATTTGGGCATATTGAGTATCCACACCAAGTTTGGTCCAGATCCATCACTGCTTGAGTCAACAGTGCTCTCTGGATGTAGGTGAACTACAACTCCAAAACTAAAGGTCAATGCCCACCAAACCTTCCAGTATTTTCTGTTGGTCATGGGAGAACTGTGTGCCACATTTGGTTCAATTCCATTGTTGGTGGGGTTGAGATTGCTCTGTGATTGTAGGTGAACTATAAATCCCAACAATTACAACTCCCAAATGTCAAGGCCTATTTTCCCCAGTGTTCACATTTGGGCATATTGAGTATTTATGCCAAGTTTGGTCCAGATCCATCACTGCTTGAGTCAACAGTGCTCTCTGGATGTAGGTGAACTACAACTCCCAAACTCAAGGTCAATGCCCACCAAACCCTTCTAGTAGTTAATGTTCTGTGTGCCAAGTTTGGTTCAATTCCATCGTTGGTGGAGTTCAGAATGCTCTTTGATTGTAGGTTGACTATAAATCCCAGCAACTACAGCTCCCAAATGACAAAATTAACACACACACCCCCCCCAACCCCACCAGTATTCAGATTTGGGCATATTGGGTATTGTGCCAAATTTGGTCCAGTGACTGAAAATACATCCTGCATATCAGATATTTACATTACGATTCATAACTGTAGCAAAATTACAGTTATGAAGAAGCAATGAAAATAATGTTATGGTTGGGGGTCATCACAACATGAGGAACTGTGTTAAGGGATCGCGGCATTAGGAAAGTTGAGGACCACTGGAAACTATTAATCCTTCCAAGAGAGGCTTAGGGAGCTGGAGATGTTGAACTTGGAGAAAAGAAGGCTGAGAGAAAGGGGCATGAGAGCCATGTTTACATGTCTGAAAGGATGTCCCATTGAGGAGGAGGAAGAGACGGGCATTGCCTCCTGCCACGCTGCACACCAAAACTGGGGGAAACATACATGTAGCAGCCCTTACCATGGTTTCATCGATTGGGTAGGTGGTTTTGTCAGGGAAGATGCAAGTGGAAAGGCAGGAGACAACTTTCTGAACTCCAGACTCATACGCGGAGTGCAAGACATTGTCATTGATGTGAACGTTCCTTCGCTGGGGGAGAGAAAGAGAGAAGAATAAGATGATTCCATATATTTCAACTCTTTGTAAGGGTGCATCTACACTGTAGAGTTAATGCAGTTTGACACCACTTGAACTGCCATGGCTCAAGGCTATGGAATGCTGGGAATTGCAGTTTTCCAAAGCCTTTATTTAGTCTTCTCTATCCAAGGACACTGGTGTCGATCTAAGGTACAATTCCCAGGATGCCATAACCTTTGCAGCCCGAAAGACAGTTACATCTGTGCTGCAACTCAGGGTAGTTTCACCTTGCTCCCAAACACCACCGCACCAGAGCTGTAGATTTTGTAGTTTATTGAGAAAAAAAGCAAAGTCAAAACATAGAATAAGAAATGCAAAAGTTTCATAAACAGGACAGAGGCTTAAATGCAAAGCACAGTTCCCAAGATCCAAAGGCAAAAAACATGAAGCATAATCCTTTAGGTAATGATCAAACAAGAGTCCATGGTAAAACAGTTAAACACAAGACCCAAAATCCCAGATTCAGGAAGCCAGAAGCGTGCTGCTTAAAGCCAAAGTTAATCCATAGAATCATAGAATCAAAGAGTTGGAAGAGATCTCATAGGCCATCCAGTCCAACCCCCTGCCAAGAAGCAGGAATATTGCATTCAAATCACCCCTGACAGATGGCCATCCAGCCTCTGCTTAAAAGCTTCCAAAGAAGGAGCCTCCACCACACTCCGGGGCAGAGAGTTCCACTGCTGAACAGCTCTCACAGTCAGGAAGTTCTTCCTCATGTTCAGATGGAATCTCCTCTCTTGTAGTTTGAAGCCATTGTTCCGCGTCCTAGTCTCCAAGGAAGCAGAAAACAAGCTTGCTCCCTCCTCCCTGTGGCTTCCTCTCACATATTTATACATGGCTATCATATCTCCTCTCAGCCTTCTTTTCTTCAGGCTAAACATGCCCAGCTCCTTAAGCCGCTCCTCATAGGGCTTGTTCTCCAGACCCTTGATCATTTTAGTCGCCCTCCTCTGGACCCATTCCAGCTTGTCAATATCTCTCTTGAATTGTGGTGCCCAGAATTGGACACAATATTCCAGGTGTGGTCTAACCAAAGCAGAATAGAGGGGTAGCATTACTTCCTAGATCTAGACACTATGCTCCTATTGATGCAGGCCAAAATCCCATTGGCTTTTTTTGCCGCCACATCACATTGAAGTTTGCATGGAAAGAGCCACGTTGAACTGACAACTTCCGTTTGTCAGCCAGAAGGCTAAATACCCTTTGCAATCATGAACGCACTGCGATGACCCTTGCCCAACTTGGCTTCTCGCTTACCAGCTAAGCGAGAGCTCCTCCGGACCCTTAATTCTAAGCGTTCTTGCCTGCTCATTAATTTATTATTTATTTATTATTTATTTACTTTACTTATATACCGCTGTTCTCAGCCCGAAGGCGACTCACAGCGGTTCACAACCAATAAGAACAGCAAAAATTCAATGCAACAGTATAAAAACAGTTAACAACTTAACACATTACACAAATTAATAAACAATTACTACAATAACCAATAATTATCATCTCATCATCAAAACCATAATCCAGATTCGTCATCCATTGTTCCATTCCTATGTTCATTACCAATCATTGCACTAGTTATTCGAACGCCTGCACAAACAGTCAGGTCTTCACTTTTTTGCGGAATACCATTAGAGATGGTGCTAGTCTAATGTCCGTGGGAAGGGCGTTCCACAGCCGAGGAGCCACCACCGAGAAGGCCCTATCTCTCGTCCCCGCCAGCCGTGCTTGAGAAGCAGGTGGGATCGAGAGCAGGGCCTCCCTGGAAGATCTCAAAGTCCTGGTGGGTTCATAGGCAGAGATGCGGTCGGATAGGTAGCTTGGGCCGGAACCATTTAAGGCTTTATAGGTCAACGCCAGCACCTTGAATTGAGCCCGGTAGCAGATCGGCAGCCAGTGGAGCTGGTGCAACAGGGGGGTTGTATGCTCCCTGCGTTCCGCTCCTGTTAAGAGTCATGGCTGCCACACGTTGGACTAATTGAAGCTTCCGGGCCGTCTTCAAGGGCAACCCCATGTAGAGAGCGTTGCAGTAGTCTAGGCGGGATGTAACCAGAGCGTTACATCCCGCCTAGATTTACTATCTTCATGGCTCTCTTTATCTTGGTCCAGCTGGACTAGATCACAGTGGGAAGGCTGAGGAGGCGAAGACAACTTCACCTGGCCATTATCTATCCCACTGACATTCTTTTCCCCTGAGAACTGACTGAGGCAGACACAGAAATCTGAATCCCTTCATCCTCTTCATCAGGGAACTCTGGCTCACAAGACCCACAGGGTTCAGCTTCACACTCAGAATCAAACTGAGTCACAACAATCTGTCAAGTAGGAAATTTAGGTACAGCTTATCCAGGGAGGCAAATTTAACTAATTGACAAGGCCATAAAAATCTCCAACAAGCATGCAAAGAATGAGGAAATATTTCATCAGTGTCACAAATAGTTGGTGAAGGGACAGCTCCCCTGGTGGCCAGAATACCCTCAAGAAAAGCTGGAATGTTAAATTGCCTCTGTGTCTGTCTATATATGTTGTGTGTCTATGGCATTGAATGTTTACCATGTATATGTCATAGAATCTAAAGAGTTGGAAGAGACCTCATGGGCCATCCAGTCCAACCCCCTGCCAAGAAGCAGGAATATTGCATTCAAATCACCCCTGACAGATGGCCATCCAGCCTCTGTTTAAAAGCTTCCAAAGAAGGAGCCTCCACCACACTCCGGGGCAGAGAGTTCCACTGCTTAACGGTTCTCACAGTCAGGAAGTTCTTCCTCATGTTCAGATGGAATCTCCTTTCTTGTAGTTTGAAGCCATTGTTCTCGCGTCCTAGTCTCCAGGGAAGCAGAAAACAAGCTTGCTCCCTCCTCCCTGTGGCTTCCTCTCACATATTTATACATGGCTATCATATCTCCTCTCAGCCTTCTCTTCTTCAGGCTAAACATGCCCAGCTCCTTAAGCCGCTCCTCATAGGGCTTGTTCTCCAGACCCTTGATCATTTTAGTGCCCTCCTCTGGACACATTCCAGCTTGTCAATATCTCTCTTGAATTGTGGTGCCCAGAATTGGACACAATATTCCAGGTGTGGTCTAACCAAAGCAGAATAGAGCATGGGGAGCATGACTTCCCTAGATCTAGACACTAGGCTCCTATTGATGCAGGCCAAAATCCCATTGGCTTTTTTTGCTGCCACATCACATTGTTGGCTCATGTTTAACTTGTTGTCCACAAGGACTCCAAGATCTTTTTCACACGTACTGCTCTCGAGCCAGGCATTGTCCCCCATTCTGTATCTTTGCATTTCGTTTTTCCTGCCAAAGTGGAGTATCTTGCATGTATACGTACATTGTAATCCGCCCTGAGTATAAATACTGCAAATGAATAAATGAGACACTTTGCAACAAAATCACTGAATCATTTTACACTGGAAAAAGAGAGGCAGTCTGTTTGTACAGATATTCCTATCACATCTCCTCCTTCTCTTGGTTTTTCCCACCACCAATTTTAAGGTACTGTTTTTTGCATTTCAAATGCAGCTTCTTCTTCAAGAACAAACAAGGACAACAAACTGAAAAAGCACGAAGGGAAGATCAAAGGAACCAAAAGGCAGGATAAGAAGGGAAGCAAAGGAAAGCGCTGCCTGCAGAGTTTGGAAGCAGGCATGAAAAAAGTATATGTACTACGTAGATACTTGGCATTAAGAGGAAGAGGGAACAAAAGGCTTCTGCACTGGAGACTAATGCATAAATACCAAGTGACAGAGGAAAACTGTTCTGGCTCTTTATATTTTTCCTTTAGGAAAAAACTGATATTGTGGTTTTGAAACCAGGCCTTTGGCTAGCAGGTATACCGGCACTTTGGACACTGAGCTGGACCATATGATTGTTATAATAATGCAAACGGCTATATGATTGTATAACTAATGTTATTAATGTATTGTTGAAGGTTTTCATGGCCGGAATCACTGGGTTGTTTACTATTATTATTATTACTATTATTATTATTATTATTATTAATTATAGTATTACTATATATTATGTCTCCATGCAGTCATGATGGCCACATGACCTTGGAGGTGTCTACGGACAATGCCGGCTCTTTGGCTTAGAAATGGAGATGACATGATTGGACTTAATGTCAGCGGAAACCTTTAAGTTTATAATAATAATAATAATAATAATTATTATTATTATTATAGTATTATTATATATTATTATGTCTCCATGCAGTCATGATGGCCACATGACCTTGGAGGTGTCTACGGACAATGCCGGCTCTTTGGCTTAGAAATGGAGATGACATGATTGGACTTAATGTCAGCGGAAACCTTTAAGTTTATAATAATAATAATAATAATAATTATTATTATTATTATTATTATTATTATAGTATTATTATATATTATTATGTCTCCATGCAGTCATGATGGCCACATGACCTTGGAGGTGTCTACGGACAATGCCGGCTCTTTGGCTTAGAAATGGAGATGACATGATTGGACTTAATGTCAGCGGAAACCTTTAAGTTTATAATAATAATAATAATAATTATTATTATTATTATTATTATTATAGTATTATTATATATTATTATGTCTCCATGCAGTCATGATGGCCACATGACCTTGGAGGTGTCTACGGACAATGCCGGCTCTTTGGCTTAGAAATGGAGATGACATGATTGGACTTAATGTCAGCGGAAACCTTTAAGTTTATAATAATAATAATAATAATAATTATTATTATTATTATTATTATTATTATAGTATTATTATATATTATTATGTCTCCATGCAGTCATGATGGCCACATGACCTTGGAGGTGTCTACGGACAATGCCGGCTCTTTGGCTTAGAAATGGAGATGACATGATTGGACTTAATGTCAGCGGAAACCTTTAAGTTTATTATTATTATTATTATTATTATTATTATTACAATATATTATTATGTCTCCATGCAGTCA